AAATTGTTGGAATTTTCACGATTCTTCACTTCATATTCGAAATGAGGAACATGAGAAGATTCCGAAACGACCAAAACATGCTCGAATCGAGAAGGTTGACGGTGCCTTTAAGGTCTTCAGCTATCAAAAAGAGCAGCGTCAAGCGCATGAGCACTCAGACACCGGGGGAAGGGAAACCGGGAATGCCGAGGCCGAATTTTTTTTTTACCGGGAATGCCGCGGCCGAAGTTAAAATTGGAAAGAGTTTATCGGGAGAGTCGCGGCCCAATCACCTCACTCGGCGTGCCGCGGGCCTTATCAAAGGCCGCACTTCTTACACGCTATAGCTTAAGGCCGAACCCGCGTGAGGTACGCCACAGCGATGGGGCTACCCTGAGTGTCTGTTGGGTTGTTAATCGCTTCTCGGGTTGGGCTGTGTGACAGTTGAGTTTATATGCTCAAGAAACAAATTTCAGCAATCGGATGGATGTCATCGACCACAGTAGATGATGTCGACAGATGAGCTAACAAGTTGCTCAATTTGTACTCAGTCGTTGTCACGAAAGACAGGCCAAAATTTTTTCACTCTTCCTAGGCCTCACAAGCATGCTAATCGGGTCAACTATCGGGCGCTTACAGGATGCGCCGCGGTCACTTATCGGGTCCAATATCGGTTTATACCGGGCAGGTCGCGGCATGGATGATTGGTGGCCGAGCAAGCACCCGCGAACTTCCCGATGCAATTGTCTGAGCAAACCAAACAAAAAATCTCCGAGGATCGAAGTATCAAACTGAAGCAGTTTGGCAGCTTCGGACGATTTGGTCAAAATGCACGTTCAATTTTCAAATCGAAAAACACTCATAACTCGGCGTCCAGAGACGAATGGCAGATACTGAGAACATAGTTGGAGTCATGGAGTCAGCGTGTAATGCTCTTTGAAGTGGTGCAATACATTCGAAAAGCACAAGAATTTACCTTCAAAATAGCAGATGTAAGCATCAACAAACAAGTGCCTATAACTTGATTGTTCTCCCTTTTGATAGAAAAGGATAGTTTTTATAAAAAGTTACACAGTGCATAGGAGTAGTGGTTGACGACTTCAGGTGATTGAAAAAGGCTAACCAAAAAAAACAGTGCCACACAGCTTCAATGTTGTCCATGTCAGACATTCATAATAGAAACAACCGGTTGAGATTGATAGACAGCCCAAAATTTAATGGCAGAACGGGAATCACGTGCAAAAGAAAAGTGCCACACATGTGGTAGAATGCAGTTTAGACTTTCCCGCAAGTGTCAACGACGCGTTTCTCGTTTGGAACCAACAGATATGATACTTCCAAATAATACAAGGAACGTAATTCAAACGATGTGTCTTACATGCAAACTTCAGTATGTTGGAAGAACAACGCAAATATTAAGAATCAGAATAAGTCAGCATCAAAGAAGTTTAAAACATTACATAAACACCTGTGGTAAATCGAATCGAGGATAAGGACGTTACCATAGCGTATTACAAATGTAGTAAAAAATAATAATAAACGTAATAATGAAAAATACAATCACTAAAGTTGAAGCCTACAATTACAAAGCGATGATTACTATAAAAAGCAGTGAGAAAAGAACAAACGTTTTTTGGCAGAGAATAAGAGTCAAACATCTGTGGTTTATAGAAGACACGATCAAGTTTGAGATTTAAAGAGAGCAAAAGGAAGTCATATGAGTTTTATTTGGCCGAATTTTCTAGCTTATTGACAAATTAACCTCGCCACTTGGTTAAAACTGATTTTAAGAACTCATAACTCGAAATGTATGCGAGGCTATTACATCAAAATCCACAACAACAAAGTGTCATACGAGCGATAATGAAACACAGAGCAAATTTTTTCAATTGGATTACTTCGTCTATACCATAGACCTTATGGTCCAGTTCTCTATATTTTGATGGTATAATCTATTAGGTTGGCCCGAAAGTTCTTTCGCACCAAATTTAAAAATTCATAACTTCTGATTTTTCCAACCGATTGGACTGTTTTTATTTTTGTATTAAAGAATAAGTCATGCTCTTCATAACGACGTCTCAGATGCTTACTAATGATCATCTGTTGCATAGATAGGAGCGAATGAAGAAAATTGGTCAAAACTCGAATTTTTCGTGTACGGTCATAAAAAATCGGAAACTTGCAACAAAAAACGGAGCAGTCAGTATTGTAGGTTCTTTTATCAGCTCTTTCTAACGGCGCAAAGTTTGCGCCGATTGAGCGTCTCTATGAAAAGTTACGATTTCCCTGAAAAATGCCTAAATAAATCAAAATCGCTTTTTTGTATTGCTTGCTCGAAAATCGTAACTTTTCATAAAAACGTTCAATCGGCGCGAACTTTGCACCGTTAGAAAGAGCTGGTGACAGAACCTACAATAATGACTGCTCCGATTTTTGCTGCAAGTTTCCGATTTTTTATGACCGTACACGAAAAATTCAATTTTTGAGTGATTTTGGTTTTGAGCTTCTATCTCCTTCATTAGTACACATTAACGAACAATTCAAGTACAGCTGCAAAAAGCATGAGTTCCTCTCTTAGGCAAAAACTTGATCACACACATTTGATAAGAAATTAAAGAGTTATGAATTTTTGAAAATGGTGCGAAAGAACTTTCGGGCCAACCTAATATTATAGGAGGTATACCCCAGGGGTTTTCATATAGCTCATTGGCAGACATCACACAGGCATGCATGTGATATGACTTTAGGAGAAAACAGGTTGAATTATGAAATATTGCATAGATTATATGCACAATCGTACTTGTTATATGCACAATCGTACTTATAGTTACATAGATGACATACTTCATCTCCACCTCTGCCGATTAATTTTTTTGACACCTTCTTGGAGATCTATCACTTCTCCTGAGATAGAACGAGCGATACAAGCAAGAATTTTGCAAGTTTTATTGACCGAACAATTTAAGCCCACACGAACAGTATAGATTTGGCATTTATCAACAGTTAGTTTTGAGCTCGTTAAGTACTCATATTGGTTTTCAAATATACTAACAAGGAAAGCTACCTGACTTAATTTGGCCTTTTGGCAAGGAACACAAACATTCTGAAACAGATTCTGTTCTAGCAATAATTCCAAATATGCTATTCCTAGCTGCAGCGCACTATTCCAAAGCCAAGGGCTTTCTCCTGCGCAAAATGTGCATGCTACTGAACATGGGAGGACTGCCTGTAGATGAAAATATGCAAGAGAAAGGTGGTGAGATATCAGAATAATACAAATTCAATCTTTTTTACTGAGAATTTTAACGCAAGTGTAATAGCCGTGATGCCAGTGAGTCGATGAGCAGGCAATTTTGCGCGGAAAAACCCAAGACTTGCTTCGGAATGGTGCGTGACGAATAGCACATATGGAAATAGCGTTTGAAGTTGATTCAAAACACAAAAATGTCCCTTGTCAAAAGGCTGAGCTAAGTCAGGTAACTTTCTCCATAAGTTGGAAACTCATTAATACGCTTACGTCAGTAGTTTTTGGGATCTACAGAAATTGTCCCGGTTACATTGAATCTGAAGACAGAATATTTAAGATTTGTCAAGATCTACGTAGGAAGGATGGGAGAAGAATAATTTCATTATCGTTTGATAACCTTCACTCTATGATAGACGTTCAAACTCAATATGAATTTCCTACCTTTGTACTCTTCCTTCGATACAGAACTTGCATGAAACATGGAAATGCCAACGCACGTTCCCAGGTGAGGCGTGAATAAACATTGAATATAACAGCCGTCTTATATCATTACTAGCTGGCTTACCCGGCTTCGCCGTATCCGGACCAAACTTGGCACACATACACTTCGGGCCCCGGCGGGTGTCACAGTCCACTTTTCGTTATCGATCGATGTCGATTTTACCGATTTTTATCGATTTTTTTGCAGAGTTCACCTACAGGGCTAGGAGTTGGCACAGGGGGGAAGTGAGCATGCTGATTGCGAACACAATATTAGTTTTCAGGATCGTCCATTACTTTTATCGATTTTATCGATTTTTTGAAAATTTGGGCTAGGGGGCTGGAATTTGGCACAGGGGTGTAATCGAGCATGCTGATCATCCCCAAGGGGGTGATCAGCATGCTCGATTACCCCCCTGTACCAACTCCCAGCCCCGTAGCTCAAACTTTGCAAAAAATTGATAAAATCGATAAAAGTAATCGATAATCCTGAAAACCAATATTGTATTCGGAATCCCCATGCTCGATTACCCCCCTGTGCCAACTCCCAGCCCCGTAGGTGAACTCAGCAAAAAAATCGATAAAAATCGATAAAATCGATATCGATCGATGACGAAAAGTAGCCTATGACACCCGCCGGGGCCAGTAGTGTATGTGTGCCAAGTTTGGTCCGGATCGGTTGAGAAATGGAATTTTCTATTCGGAACATACGTACACAAGACATACATACAGACAGACAGACAGACAGACAAACAGACATTCAGCTTTATATATAAGATAAAACCATCATAATGTACAGTCGAGTAGATTTCCTGCTCAAAATAGTGTGCTTGCTGTGTCGAGAAAATGCGGAAAAATTTGCGCGTAATTAAACAGGCACTCCCAAAATACTGGACAATCTGCACGCGCAGTAGCCGACATTATAGGCCTACTTTTTTGTTTGCGCGCAAATTTTAATGCATTTTCTCGGCACCGCAAGCACATTACATTGGACGGAAAATCTACTAGACATTATCAATCATTGTATCAAGCTATCTCTTGACTAGACCTACATTCCTTTTGGATTCTTTCCTCTTCTTACCCACCAGACTACTCTCAATCAGTCATTATTACACAGCCAACACTTGCAGCTCTGTTGGGAACTACTGATGAATGCCGTCAAGAAAGCTACACTACCGGTCTAGTTCTTAAGACCGAAACCGCTTGTGTGTAAAATCAAGTATACACTTCAACCTTTTTCTTCTCTTGCTCATATTTAATCTCCAGATGCACTCATTCTTCCACGTGTGTTTGAACACATTAGTGCCTGCTCCCTATACAGCTTATAATACCATAAAGTAATCATTTGTTGAGGGCGGCTTGTCATCTCGTGCATTGCTAGCTTCTGTTCCCCCTCTATAAAGCAAGTGGACAACCTATAAGCATCCCCCTCATTGATGATGCTCTCATTTTTGGCTATTATTTCGGTAAGTTTGCCGTTTAGTTTCTACGAGTTGACTGTAATCAACTTGAAGGTGATATGAAATGTTTCAGTTTTTATTTTCAATAATCCTTGGAGAATTCATATACCCATGCAAAATTACTGACTCCGAAAAAAATTGGAGAAATGGAATACTTTGGGGTTTCCAAGATTATATCAAATCTGAAGGTGATAAGGATACCGTGAACGTTTACAATCAAGTGGTGGGTTTTTGGGAAATTCTAAACCGATGAAGCTCGGGGTAAAATAATTCAGTCAACTCCTCTTTTCAGAGTTACAACTGCTTCAACGAGGAAATTGACAGTAAGAGTCCTTATTTCTTCTCTTTCCACATCGGGTAACTTGATTATGCTGCGTTTTTTTCATGACAAACAACCCAGTGTTTAGAAGTAATTCGAGTCTAACTTCAAACCAGATCAAAGATGTGGTCTTTTCGGCACTGAAAGAACAGTCGTAAGCAATTTTATCATGTTGCTTCGTATAATATCAATATGAAATTATTCAGAAACAACGAAAGAAGCCTTTTGAACAAAGTCTTGCACAGTTTGGTTGACGAGGTAAATTATTTAATATTGAACCTTACTTGCTCGAGCTAAAATTATCCGCCTTTACTTCGAATTAACTATTTCTACGCGTACTTCAATTCTTTGTAATTTTTGCCACTCCACTTTTTCACTTTACAACATATTGTGGCAACCCATCGTAGGGTAAGTAAAAAGCTTCGAAGAAAGGGACTTCTGCCAGCGTTTGCGCAAGCATTTCTACGACTTTATGTCAAGAGGAACTCCTGCGTTGTCTGCAAGTATCAAGTCGTTCCAAATGTTCCTTCCTATTTGATTATAAAAGCAAAAATTTATACACTTTGTATTTCTGACTAGGGTTTTGTAAACCATTTGAATAGAGCAAAACAGCTTTGCAAGATGGTAATCTTGCTTTAACACAAGCTTCAATCCATACCAAGTTTGAAGCCAGAAACCAAGCTGATTTAACTGCCCGAAAAATCAAGACAAAATCAAAACAAACGTCAAAAAACCTCAAAAATCTTAACTTGCTCACGTATGCACTTTCCACATGAGACGTTTATATATTTATACCATTGCTGTATCTCTTTCTTGGCGGGGATTCAAAAAAAAATGGTAATTTTTATGCTTTGTCCAAAGTGACGCTATACAGTTCCCACACGAATAGTGGTATACTACAAGCTTTCAGAAGCATTTACGTGAATTTTCAGCTTTCTTCGAACTTCATTCTCGAGAAATATCGAGTGAAGCTACCTTTGGTCGGGTCTCACACGCTAATTCATACTTCTCTAGAATAAAGCTTGTAAAAAGTTGAAAATTTACGTTTGTACCTTCAAAGGCTTGTAGTACACAGTTACTTGTTGAGGGACCAATATAGTATCAATCAAAAGCACAAAAAATTTTCGTATTAATTAGCCAAGGAAGAACAGCAAAAATATACATGAACGTCTCATTGGAAAGCGCATACTCGGAGCAAGTTAGGATTTTTGTAGGATTTCTTTGGAAGAGTTACGATTCTCCATTTTTTGGGCAATTTTCTCTTCTTGCTTTCTGACTAGATACTCGAGATGGATTAAGCTGCAGCAAAAGCAAGAAGCTCTTGTAGAGCTTGCTCTGTTCTATCGATATGAAGTGTATCAGTTATTATCAAAGTCAAAACGGACGGAATTAAACAATTTCAGACTGAGATAGAGTGTTCGTCTGAGTCATTAGGTAACAAAATATTCAGATAAAGGTTGGCACTTTAACAAAAGACTGCAATAGATTTTATACAAACATTCCTTTTGTTGAAGAACGCTCATGAAGCATATTAAAGCTTTTACACACATTCAGATGGGATAGCTCGTTATCTCCCAGTGCACTAACTCAGTATAAAACGAAGGGTTTTTTTGGCCTTTTTATGACAGGTAGATTTAAGCATCACATAAAATCAAGATAGCGTTGAATTAGGGCAGAAAAGTTTTTTGAGCTAAGTACAAAAGGTTTTTGAAAGATGTTACTTTCTTACATCACAAAATCGATACAAACATTGTGAAGTTGTGCTGTGAATTTAATGTAACAAAGTTACGAATATCTGCGGTAGAAATAAGTGAAATCTCGAAAACACGAAATTTTCGACCAAACATTGAATGCGAGTTGAGATTTTTGGCTAACTTTAACTTTCACAATCCACTTGTCTCAACGGAAATATGATTAGCACTGTAGATCCCTAGCAACTTCTCCTCCTTTCTAAGGTTGGAAGAAAAATGGCAGTAAAAGAGCGGTAAAAAAATTAGCAAATTTGTATGGCAGTGCGCAGTCATTAACTTATGCTAAAAAAGCAGAGTAGTAGAGCCAAAAAATAGGCAGAAAACAGAAAATTTAGATATCTAGAACAATGAGGCTTGTTCCCTCATAGCTCCCATGTTCTTTCCAGCGAAAATGTAAGTGCATGCGAACCTTTGAAAAAGGCATGGTTTGCTTTTTTGCTCAGATATTGTCAATATGACTGTGAATTACAGGCTTTTTGGTAAGGTTAATCAGAGCTGGCTTTCTATGTATCAATGAGAACTAATTTTTCTCCAAAATCTCTGAGTCGAACGAGCTTCTGTGCCTCACATGGAGCTCATCAATTGAGCGAGATGGCAGAAATCTGTTAGCTGCTTCCAAAAGTTGAGCACAAACCTTAAGATGATGAACATAGTTCTTTCATATTCGCATGAACTTGAATGATATCTCCAAAGACAGTTTACTTTTCAAGAAATTCTTAACTACTGGAGTTTCAAAAACACTTTGGTTTTTTTCCTTTCAATCATCAAATTCTTCATTTCGACTCCACAGCAGTATGAGCAAGATTTCTCCGTCAGAAAAAGTTTTCAAAATAATTTTTTTCTCACCAATCAACTGTTCCTTAAATTTAAAATGTTGACGAGATTGATAAACTAATTACTTCGTACAGCGTGGAGGCAATTGAAAGCGCAAGAAGTTTCACGATACATGAGATTAGCATACCAATAAAATGTCAGTCTGCCGCGGTATTCATTGTCTCCACCAACCTAGGAATCTTGGCTCTTACAAGGGAACGATGCTTGATAGCTTTTTGAAATGGAACGATACCTTCGCATTCGCCTTGGATCGCTGATTCCTTTCTTTAAAAAAAGTTACAAAAGATTTTCGCGTTAATTGTCGCCCAAGAAAAATACGGTCGGGGATGCTTGACTTTCAAAAAGAAGCTTGTTTAAGGCAATGCAAAACTGAAAACACACAAAAGGACTCGAATCTAAACCTGCATTATCTTGTGAGCTACCGCACTAGCCACCCACATCTTCGCGGCGTTTTTGGCAATTCTACCACATCTCCTTTGGCGCAAAAATCTAACTTTTTTCCAAGAAACGATTAGCAGAAAAGGAAGTCAGATACGGAATCAGCGCTCCCAGACAAGTGTAATGGTATTCATCTCTTCTCAAAAGGCCACGGGCCCCAAGTATCGTTTTCTTGTTATATGGTGCAAATTTTCTCAAAAAAAAAAAAGAATTCTAGTCACTAGAGCTATTTAAGATCACGAACATCACGCTGACTGTTATCTTAAACATGATTGGTATGTTTTGCATTCCACATCAATCTGACCAGTTTACGAATCGTACCCCACCCTTACCGGTCTTAGCTAGCGAATCACAAGAACACTCAAAAAAGGGCTAATCTGATCTTCTCCTACATCAGCCAAGTCCAAACATACTCGAAAACTGTAAAATTCAGCAAGTATCAACAGATACAATGTAAACATCGTATTTTGTTCTTCATACAATTATTATGCACTGTTTGATCGTTGATGTCTTTCTGCCCATAAATGTCTTTCGCCGAACTTCAGGTACCACTTTGTAAATCTGGCTTTGACTAAGAATTGCAAAATATAACTTATTATCTTTTTTTCTGTAGAATAACGAAGGGGAAGAATTGAGCTAAGCCATTAAAATAAGGACGCAGAAACTAGATATGAAAGCACTTTGCCACAATGCTCCGTTTTCAAATCATGCCAGAAATACTGTCTTCTGTTTTCCTTAAAATATGATTAAACCTTTCAAAAAGTTTGAGATACTTGTAAAATGTTAACAATTTAAGATAAGTGCGCCAAAACCTTCGCACAACTGTTTAGCATTCAGAAATTTTTTTTTGGGATGCTCAATTTACGATAAAGCAGCCTTTGTGAATAGAGCTGCTTGTAAGCTGCAACACCCTACCAAGAATCTACAGTACTAAAAGGCAGTGGACTATTCTTAACACGTTGTAGATTTAAACTGAAGCTAGCTCTACAAAATGATTCCCGAATGTTGGCCATGTGGGAAATAAGATACTAACGATTAAACAGTGCGTACAGACATTTTTTAGGACATTCCGGCAAATGTGTAGCCAGTACCACATTCGCTGAGCATTGACGATTTCTTGACAATTTCGATGATAAAAATAGAATTTTGTTCATCCTTATACCTGAAACTTGCTTGAATCAATCATGGGATGCGTTGTGAATAGAGGTCCGTCTACGCGTGTAATTGCTGTCGAATTTTGTAAAGTTCTAGAATATACAGCGCATATACATATATTTCTAAGTTTGTATCTTGTCTTCTAGCTCAAGTAGTACTTAGATATAACAACTTCCTTTGTTTTGTTCGTATTCGTATCTCGAGTTTTATCGGTTTTGCCGAAAAATTAGGATTGACCTCGATTTTTCAAGCACCAGGTTTGGAGGAAAGGTATTTTCTTTGCAACAAAGTAATCACACATTTTCTATGAAGACTCAAGACAGCAGCGCAGCGTTGCGTCTTTCTATGTACATAAAATTGAAGTGGGCTGGATTTCTGAATCGTTGTCAAATGTCTTGATCACTGAATAATGACTTTTCAGGCATTAAAAGGCGAAAGGATCCAGATAGGATGCTTCCTTGCAGAGGAGCAGCTGTACTATCCTGGTGACTATTCCGCCTTCTGCAGGTATTCGCACTATGACTACTCCTTCGAATGAAGCCTGATGCAGAAATTACCAAACTTAGCAATGTGTCAATAAAGTGTCAATTGAGCTTTTGAATAAAACACGAAGTCTTTATTTTACGCCTACAGGTGCTATGGCGATTTTTCAAATATGACGTTCACGTTGACTTTGTTCGTACACTACGACAACTCATGAGAACGATTAAACATAAGAGACAAACAAAAACAGAACAGAATAGATGAAGCACACTTAAGTAAACCATGAAGATATTTGTGATGTTCGTATTCTCCGAAATGGCGACATGCTGAGCCCGGCGAACATTCGTGCACATGAAGGAGGATTACCGTCGTCATACAAATTTTTTAGGAAGTGTAACTATGCGGGAAGAGGATAGGGGCTTTAGAACCCCTTTTACGGTTTTGGATGTAGATTCGAGTGTGCAAAAAGTATTAAAAATGTTTAAAAAGAGAAATCTATAACTTGTATGCTCTAAGCCACCTCAAGTGGCTCTTCAGGTGGCTTCAAAGCCAACTAATTTCGAAGGAAGTGTGCCACTCCATAAATATTTCATAGTTTTCCCCCATATAGTTTCAAATCACACTGCGCATTTAGGACACCAATTTTGATGTTATACCGTTTCCTTTTCACTCTAAACGAGCCTTTTAATTATTGAGGACTCTCGAATTGCCACGCTTGCACAGAGAGCATACTGGAGCGCGAAGCTATTGAGCTTGCAGAGAATGGGATCGGCAGGGTTGTAATGGGCACTTAGGAGATACTCGGAAAATGAACGACTGGAGTAAAACTGGGGGAGAGTCCGATTGTGGAAAGGTGGATTGTGAGAGTGGGATAAGAGTTGGGAATTTGTGTATGCATTAATCGTGACAATAGCGATGGTTTAAATTTTGCTTGTCAGGGGTGGGCTGCAAAAATTTGTTGAGTTGATGCTTATTAAGTTGACCAACTCCTTGAAGTTTTTTTTTTCAATTGGCTAAATTCATATGTAAATTGATTTAAAACTGCCTTGCATGACCAAAAGGTTTTTTGAAATTCTTTGAACGACTCTGATTTCACATTGAGCGATTGCGATATTCACATACAGTTTACTAATTGTGAAATATATGTTTATTTACGGGACTCCTACGATCACTCTAAAAACAGTTTTCCCTTTGCTTTCCACCCTCAACACGATATCCTGCTTGCTCCGTAAGCCGCCTGTGCAGAGCCCTATATTTATTAGGGTGTCTCATAATTTTTTTAACCGTTTTTACCCTAAACGACAGCATTTCTCGAGAACCGAGGCACTCACAAAATATACAAATACATTATTGTAATTCTGTATATATGGACAATATGATCACATACGTGGGGGGATCTTAGGACATCGAGGGGCGGAGTTTACCATTTTACAGCATTCCTTCTCTTCTTTATTTCTAGCCATGGAAAAAATACGAAAAGTGTACAGTTGAATGTTCGATTTGCCAAGCATGTGCTAGGATAAATGGAGAATTCTTAAGATTTTTTGGGGCTGGGGTACGATTTTTTACGGCATGTTCGTTTTTGACTGCTATCATATTTCTGCTCAAAACTTCACGTGGAATACGAATTGCGCAAACTGCTGATAGCCAACTTATAGAACTTGCCTTGCTCTGTCGATTGATTACTTAAGCCACATCAATTGATGGAAAGATAAAAAAGACGACTGTGTAATAAAAAAGGTAAAAAATTGTGAGAAAATAATTGAGTACAACTTAAACTCATCTATCATGAAACTGAAAGTGTAAACAACATCGTCTTTTTATCTTTTTATCTGCACTTTCCTATATGTAATTGCGTACCATTTCTTGCTGAAAAGGTAAAACAGTTTACTTCCGTTACATCCACAATAACTGTGACGAATAGAAACGGTAGCACTATTCTCGATGACTAAAGGTTGCCTATTAACATTTGGCTGAATTATAGAGTTGCGCAAAGACACAAAAAAGACTTGGTTATAATCTTGGAGGGGACAGGAAGAAATAAATCCGTAGAGCAGCCAAACACAGTGTCACGCAAACGAAAGGTGCCATCACTCTGATAAATGAATTTACTCATTTCCTCGACGCTTTGCTTCCTCATCAATATGCAAAGTTGTAATCGGAAGTCTATGACTTTGTCCACTTCTCATAGTTTTCATGCAATCAAGACCATCAGAAGCAGTGAATACTTCGAAATCTAACACGCAGGTACTGCCACAAACGAGAAGAAAATTGTGCGTCAAAAAAAACCGGAAGTTTTTTTTTTTCGAAAACCTCGTTTTTGGGAGTTACAACTCCAAGTTTTGTTCCTGTGCCTGCTAATCAGCATATTTTATAGACGCAAGCTAGTAATGTGTTATTGTATTGAAAAGACTTCAACGAAGGAGTTCTGCGAAAAGAAAAGATGAAAATCCAGGAATGTTCACTTTTTGACCCTATTGAGGGTAGGCCCAAAAGTCCCAAACTATGAAAATTTGGAATTCTTCATGCGAATAGCTAGCCTTTTCTGCAAAAATTGTAGGCAAGATGTCCTCACCTTAGGCACACAGAAATGAGCGGAGCTTCGGCGATTGCCTTAATCAGAAAAAATTTTTAACCCATAGAATGCCAGGCAGCGAGTATCTATTTTGGAGCAACGATTTCTCGGTCCATTCGAAAATATTTTCAAACGTGCGATATATAAACAACATTCCCATACAGTAGCTATGTTTTAATGAAAATTCGTTCATTTGCGCTTGAATCGTGGCCAAGAAAGTTGAAGCAATGAAATTCGGATCTTTGTGCGGATGTGTGAAATAACGGTAAAATTCTCACAGATGAAATAAAAGCTTGAATCCACAGCTATTAGAAAGTAAATGAAGAAGTTTGAAGCAATGATATGCAGGATTTATACTGAGTAAAAAAGTTTGGTGGAAGAAATGTATTTGGAGAATAGACCTAGAAAAGCGGACATTATTTTTGCAACAACATAATATTTGAAAGCAGCAAAGGCAAATTCGTTTCTTATGGTTAGAAGTTTATGTGCCCGTCGTGAAACTGTCTTAACACGTTGACGACAAGGCGCATTTTTATTTGTCTGCCGTGTGGGACAATGCCTTCCACGAACGAGTCCAAAATTTCTAGCTAAAATCAAGCAGACCGTCATCTTAACTATACCTACACAAATTCTTGAAAGCGGCCAAGAAACGTCAAGGTATTTTCTAGGGTTAGAGCCAGGGTCAAGCGTGTGATGCGACTGTCGCAACGGGGGGTCGTAAAGGGGGCCCTCCGGTGGGGGGGGGGGTCGTAAAAGGGGTAGTTTGGATAAAAAACCGTACGCTTGAAAGCAAATCAATTAGTAATAATTTACTATTTAATTATTACATGTTATTAATGAAATATAATAACATGTAATAGTTATTAATCAAATAGTAGTAATAACATCTAATAATTATTTTAAATAATTAATACATGTTCGTTACAATAATTCTTAGAATGCTGAGTACCAATATATCAAATGAGAACGACTGAGCAACATGCAATGTAAAACATTTGCTTATGTAGAAACTCGCTTTATTTGCTGCATTTTTGAGAGAGTATGACTTGATTTGTTTTTATACTTAGGTTAGCTAGGTTTTTAACTCCTCTCGTCTGCAGTCATAGAGCGCAGTAAGGCCGCTTCAAGAAACTGGCGACAACAAAGTGTTTATCTCCAAAGATGTTGTCATGAAAGTTCGAGAAAATTGTCGTTGAGTTATTACGATGGACTTGTTTCGGCAACTGAGCCGATAGAAAAAATTGCTAGTTTGGCCTCCTCTTCGTTCTGAAGTCGAGTGCTGATTTCCTTGACGTCATGGCGAGTTCTCAGCCCGTGCATAGTCATGTAGTGTTCAGTATGTTTAGCAATCAAACCGTTGACATCCCCTTAAATCTCAAACATATGTAGCCGCAGGTAAATTGGAAGAAAAACATACCACTTGCAAGAGCTGTTTTTATCTCTTTCATGAGACTGCCTTCTCTTCCAAACGTAGAAGGTCGTCCTGGATGTAGATTTAGGCCTGGACGAGGATGCAGCCATTGCGCGGCTAGCTGTTGAATTTTGACAGTCAAAATGCTGGGACCATCCCTTTGTATTCTGCAAATGTCAATAGAGCGGACCCAAGTTCAAAGGCACTTAGAAATCATCACATACGTCATCAATGAATCGAGGGTGCTTGTTGCCAAATTGCTTCTTTCATCTTTTGTGAGTCTATTCGCAGCCGAAAAGCTACGTTCTGGATCTGCATTACTTGCAGGAACGACTAACACACATTTAATTGCCTAAAACATCATGCCTAAGTTGCATTTAAAGCGAATAGTGATTTAGTACCTGTACAACTTCGCCCGGTATCTGTAACGAATCGTAATTAGCGAGAAGCATCTGATAGAAAGATGCACTTTGTTGCATATCTTTGTAACCGCTGTTCCATTGCAAGCATGTTTTAGCCGTTTTTGGTATGGTGTTGAAGAATCGTATCATAGGGGATCTTAAATTTTGGATGTTGCAGTATCTTTCGAGAGCGGAAATTGAGGCGTAAATAGAACGATGGCGCTCTTGTGGATCGAGCGCATTTGAGACCGGGTCAATGTAGCTCGGGCAGCCTCTGTTAAAGTAATTAGCTCCTGATGGCACGTAGTCAACGAATCCCGTGTCAAAGTCCCCATCGAAATCCACTACGTCCATGATTGTAGATTTTTCCAGCGCCATTAAGTCGTTCGCGTGGACCTCATGCGCTCTTGTTTCGCCCATTCGCGCAAGCAGTTGATCTTTGACATCATTGTAAAACCTCTCCGCGGCATCTTGAAAAGAAGTTGACACAAAATCATGGTAAGCCTTTCCCAGGTTAAAGCGCAACAATGCGCTTTTGTCAATCTCGGGGGCGTCCTCAGCAGAAAAGCTTTGCTCTGGATCTCCAGCTGCAGTGTACACTTCGTCAGGAGTTCCTTCAAGGTATCTGAATCGTTTGAATGTCAGCATCTCCTCTCGCTCGTCGCTGTCCTCTTCAGCAACCACAGAAGGATTATAATCTTGAAAAGCTCTGGGATTGTAGGATAGTAATAAGTTGTTGTTGCTCCACTCTTCTCCCCCTGAATTGGCGTCGTAATCATAAAGTTCATCTCTTTCAATCCGACGGTATCTATCGCGCACTCTATCAAATGCTTTGAGTTCTCCCCTTTCAAGCAATCGTGTCGTTGTTCTGCTACTAAGGACATATTGTTCGATAAGATAGTACAGCTCTTTCCATTTTCGGATATTATCTATCAAAAGAGCTTTTTCGTTTTGTAGCCTCAGCGAAAATAATGAGAGCTCTTGAAGTGTAGTATTTGCATGGTTTAAAGCCAGGAACACTCTCCCATCCGTGAGCACCCAATGTGCAATTCTAGCTCTTCTCATTGTTGCTGCGCCGTATCTATCTCGTTGTAACTCCCTCATAGTTTCAATAAGAACCGGATACATTCTAATGACATTGGATACTGCATTTGCCAAGCTCGCAGACCATCGTACCGTGAATAAAGCCAACATCTCTAGTGGCTTATAGCGCATTTTCTTTGCAATCATATGGTAAGCAGCTCGTCCAGTCGTTCGCACTGTAGAACCAAGGAGATGATGCATTTCCATAATGACTGCCTGAACTAGCTTGAATAGTTCACCGTTTTGGGAGGCAAAAACTAGATTGAGCTTATGCGCCATGCACACTGAAAGAAGGAGACTACTACGCGGACGAAAATCTCCAGCGGTTTCTTCCGTCAGGCGATCCTTCAGCAATGCGTAGACGCCACCAACATGCCCTTGCATAACTGCTGCTCCATCAGTTGATAAAGCTATCATGTTCTTCAGTGCGTACTGTCGCACTGAGTGTGGTAAACCTGGGGCATCCCGCCAAGATTCCATGCTGTCGAAATGTCTGAAGAGAGCTTCAACGATATGTTCTGCAGATTCGCTTTCAACCTCAGCAAGGAAGAAATGCAGTGTGATAGGACGATGCTGCGGTGACACAGTTCGAAGTAAGAATACTATCCACTTTACTCCACGAGAAGATGAGGAACCATCTAGAAGAAGTGTAAACGGCAATTTCTTGGTCATAACATATTTTAGGATGTCGTACTTCATATGCGTCGCAAAAGTCGTTACCATTCGACGCACCGTAGTGGGATCGAGGATTACAACCTTTACAAGCAACTAGCTGCAAACCCGCATCCGCACGGCGCTCAACAACATATTTGTAATCAGCATGCTCACTTACCCCCCCCCCCCCCTCCTCCCCATAAAGACCTACGGACATTTAGCTCTATATTTAAGATTAGACTGTAAAAATTAAAACTAAGCCGCTCATCGGTTCTCAACCACGCTCTAGCATCAAATAGCGAGAAGCAGAGAAAACTTTGAAAGTGATTAACTCACCAAAGGAGACTTCGTATTGATTGCAAGTAGACCATAGGAACTGAGTTTGAGCTTCTTCATGACGCTGTCATCTTTTCGGCAATTTTCCTCGACTGCTAATTCGATATACTGCAGGTTAGCAGTATTCCGGAATTTTAGCGAAGAAATTTCGCTGATGTAAGGATGGCAATCGTCTAGTGCATTCGATATGGGAAGGATAGCGAAGATGTAAATTAGCGTCAGGCAACACATTATGGCATTACTCCCGATGGTGAAGTTTTGGTCAAGAGAGTCGATAGGAGAGCCAACCGCACAGCGAAACGCAAGTGATTCACTGCTCGCATTCCATAAAGAAAAAAATCAGATCTCTGATTTCCATAGAGCTACTGCATCGCTGCAAAAAGAAACACCTGTCAATCACTGCAATCACGAGATAAGCCATCAGCAGTCTGTATCTTTCAGTGCAAAAAACAATGTGAGAACCGCAAACACTAGTATGTGTGCTAGAGATGCTGGATGTACCTATTGGCCTAGAAATTCTGCTTCCGGAACCTCACCGAAGTCTCACACACTCGACAAAAGCGCACATCTAGATCAATAATGACAATCAATAATTCGAAAATCTTTTTGTAATGCTAATTATATGGTCCTTATAATTTATATGTACTTTAGATGAGCCCTGTTATCACTGTGCGAAATCTGGTCTTATTCTGTAGACTGTGGATTTTCTTATGATTTTATGCATGGTAGCAAAAATTCAGGAAAGGGGGGTCGTATCTGGGTCGCATCTAAATTTTTTCGGGACTATCGAAGCTTGTTGGCTGCAATTTTGCTGTAATATGAGGCCATCCTCCTACTTTCCCTCATAAAAATTTCAGGCTGTTTTATGACTTCTCTGAAAAGTTACAAAATTTTAAGCTTAAAAATCCCAGTTTTTGCTTTCTAGGATCGCATCTAAATTTGCGAGAGTCGCATCTAAATTTTTTCGAGCTCACTGCTCCTCAAGGGCTGAAACTTTCTCTATGAATAGTCTGGGCACTATGCTACAGAACCTGTCCTTTGCAGCCTCTCAATCTTTTCCTGGCCTTAGTTACGAATTTTCAAACTACCGTGCTCATGCACGTTTTTGACGTCGTTCTGGACGGCGCCGAAGCGGTTTTTTTCGCAGGAAAAACTGTGGAAGAGGTAGAAACTGAGCTTCTTAGTCGAAAACATCTTTCGTAGATCAAGAATGTCATTTTGTTCTCCGTGTAAAAATTTGTGTCGCATACGGGAATCGAATTTGCTGGCCTGAAGTATGCCTGAAAATTCAGAAAAAAAACTTGCAGAATCTCGAACATTACTGAAGGTGCGTATGTGCGCTAGAGATGCTGGGCGCACCCATTGGCTTAGAAATTCTGCTTCCGGAACCTCACCGAAGTCTCACACACTCGACAAAAGCGCACATCTAGATCAATAATGACAATCAATAATTCGAAAATCTTTTTGTAATGCTAATTATATGGTCCTTATAATTTATATGTACTTTAGATGAGCCCTGTTATCACTGTGCGAAATCTGGTCTTATTCTGTAGACTGTGGATTTTCTTATGATTTTATGCATGGTAGCAAAAATTCAGGAAAGGGGGGTCGTATCTGGGTCGCATCTAAATTTTTTCGGGACTATCGAAGCTTGTTGGCTGCAATTTTGCTGTAATATGAGGCCATCCTCCTACTTTCCCTCATAAAAATTTCAGGCTGTTTTATGACTTCTCTGAAAAGTTACAAAATTTTAAGCTTAAAAATCCCAGTTTTTGCTTTCTAGGATCGCATCTAAATTTGCGAGAGTCGCATCTAAATTTTTTCGAGCTCACTGCTCCTCAAGGGCTGAAACTTTCTCTATGAATAGTCTGGGCACTATGCTACAGAACCTGTTCTTTGCAGCCTCTCAATCTTTTCCTGGCCTTAGTTACGAATTTTCAAACTACCGTGCTCATGCACGTTTTTGACGTCGTTCTGGACGGCGCCGAAGCGGTTTTTTTCGCAGGAAAAACTGTGGAAGAGGTAGAAACTGAGCTTCTTAGTCGAAAACATCTTTCGTAGATCAAGAATGTCATTTTGTTCTCCGTGTAAAAATTTGTGTCGCATACGGGAATCGAATTTGCTGGCCTGAAGTATGCCTGAAAATTCAGAAAAAAAACTTGCAGAATCTCGAACATTACTGAAGGTGCGTATGTGTGCTACAGATGCTAAGTGCACCCATTGGTCCAGACATTTTGCTTCTGAAACCTTACTGAAGTTCTCACGCAGGTGTTTTTTGATATTGACATTCGTTTATGCAGGTTATCGCGAGAAATGTGGGCAGGGGAGGTAAGGGGGATAGATGGGAAGAGGGGGAGGGGGGGGGGAAGGGGGGGGGGGTCGTACGGATGGGTACCTTTAAGGGGGGGGGGGTCGTAAATGAGGGTCCAGGATCGCATCAACACGCTTGACCCTGGTTAGAGCGTAAAAGACCTCAGGAAACGGATGTACCCAGTAATTGTTATTACTTCAAAAAAAATTCATGCCGGGGCCCACCATGTGGGTCACATTGTCCCACGTGGCAGTCACTGCATGACCCACCATGTTTAACACATTGACGACAACGTGGGTCACGTTGTCGTCAATGTGTTAAACAGTTCCCATTCTTACTTGGTCAATCCATAATTTCGTAGCGTTTTCATTTTCCCGCCCTCACTTTTGTAAATAGTGCATGATTTGCGGCAAGATATGCATATAATTGAAAGCTGATTATGCTCTTCAAGACCTATTTATTTTAATGGAAAGCTGATCCACTTTCATTTATCAACGAATGTGGAATCTCGAGAGGCAAAAAGAAGCACTTTCTACCCTGCTCAATTTTACTCATGAGAGGTAGCGTTTTTTGCAACAATTTGTTACCGATTATTGACGATGGCGTTTGCAATTATCATAAGGCAAAAAGGGATAATTTGCTCTAAAGTCAATCAGGGTGTTTCTAAGACTTTTTATGGGACGCGCAAGACGTCCTTCACTGAAATTTGTTGGAGAAAAAGAACACGGTCAACCCGGTCATGGGCAACCTAACTGCACCATCTAAGTGAGTCTTTTTCACGTAACAAAATAAATATGGTGCACGGCGAACGTCATAACTGTCAAGATTTAACTGGAGGTCATTAACGTCCAATTTACTCTTCAATCCACGCCTCACCAGATCATTGCCCCGCTCTCTTGCAAAGCATGTGGACGGTACTTGTTTCAGTTCTGAAGACGATCAGCGGCTCTGGTCAAATCTTGGACCAGATCCGGTAATTTTTGAAAAATAGAATGCGAAATTTGATTTCAATGTGGCAGAAAGATGTGCGCAAAGCGGAACATACATTATCGACAATTTTTGATGAAGTTGTATTATTACATTGTTTTGTGCAAACGCTAGAAACTTATAGAATGACCTTTGCATTAGCTGAAAAAAGAGAGCAGAAGTGCACGAGATTGTAGTGAGAGACAATAAAACCATATAAATTGTTTGTAACCTCTCTCGGATCAGCTGTGTGTAATGTCCGATGCCAATTTAGGAACAGCGGTGTTTTGGAGCTTGCTTTATACAGGATGTCACGAAAGTATGTATACACTGGTTCATCCCTAGTACCTCTCTTCACAAAAAGTCTCTTGCAGACCTTTGTGTACCGTCGTGTGAGCTAGTTCAAACTAATTTGTTCAATACAGAACCAACTAGCAATTTTCCGTCATTTGCAGAATTGCCTTAAGAACTTGAAGTATATCAAGCCATTGAGCAATATTTTGCTTCAAAGTGGCACCGGATCTGAAAACTCAAACATTAAGGCAATGAGAGTCGCCGACATCAAATATGAAATTCGCATTTCACCGTGATGCTTCTTTTATATGCTGAGCCGGTTATAAGGTAGCAAGGGGTTTTTCCAGGAAAAACGTACGATTTAAAAGCTTGAATTTTTAAAAGTTGTGTAGTGATAATAGCATCATCGAAATACTGCTGCACAACGTTCTGCAAAGTTTTTGAAATTTTTTCGAACCTGCTACTGTAATGGCCACATTAAGGGCCATATTTTGCTGCAGAAAGTTAAACAAACAAGCTAAAACTCTCACTGAGCCATTTAGAGTCCATGATTTTGATAATGGAATGAGCACAATACCGTAATGTTTTTTTCAAATTCATGCAAAGTTTTAACGTGAGTTAAAATTAATGCGAATCTCGCATCTCTTTTTATTGTTAAACCTATCAATTGGGTAGAATATAGCCAAGCAAATGCTCTTAATGGTTTCCGACACTTTCTTTCACTTTCCAGCAACTATAATTTCAAAAAAACTCCTATTTGTCCCATTTGCAAAAATTTTTAAAACAAAGCGTTTGCCGTTCAACTCCTATGATTTTTTCACACATGGTAAAAAATTCTAGATTATGGTAATTTGAAGCGGTAAACGTTTGATTACCTTGGAAAATCAAGGTTTGATAATAAACTATTTTCGAAGCTCCCGATTTCGGAGTTTTATTGAGTTTGATGCATTTTTGTTTGAGCGTTTTTGAATTTTTAAGGCTTTTGGAAAAATTAAAAAATCCTCAAAACACTAGTTTTGATAGAGATAAGAAGTGTTTGCATTAAGCAGAATTTGTTTTATTACTAGGATATCGAGTCTGTTTGGAAACCTCAAACCAAAAATTCTGAGGATTAGCTAAACTCACTCAAAGCAAAAATGACTGGTTCAAAACTTGGGAGATTTTAACGGCTCAAGTGACAACTAAGAAGTCAATTGAGCCGTTGGCTTGGCTGCTGGAAAGAAAAAGAAAAGCTACTTTAATACAGTTTAGGATACTCTTCTAACGCTATTCTACACGACTCGCGAGCGAAAGGGGAAGTCTTCGAAAGTTCTCGGCGAAAAGTTCTCGTAACAACGTTACCTAACAACTGTTCCCTCAATCCTTCTCGAATTGTCATTTCACCATGAAGCTTTAAAACCTCCGAGAAGTTGTGCTATAAAATCGGCATGCGCGAATACCCTGCTAACTTTCAAATTTTCAAAGTTTTTTTTTCAAACAACTTTTCTACGGTATACGTTGGAAGTCCCTAGTGTAGTCTCGCGGTTCGTCCCATACTGTGAATCTCTAGGTTGCTAGGTCGGGTAATCGCTAGGTTTTAGCTTTACGAATAGTACCTAAAGGTATATAAAAAAGGGGGAAAAAGAGGTATTAGCGATTAAACGGTGTATACATAACATCACCCTTTATAGCACATATATTACATTGTAGCAGCGAAATGTTGCGCTCATTTTCAATACCTTACACAAATCATGAGTTGTCTGCACAAATTACAACAATGCTTATCGTGGTGTTACCAAATGCACTTTCGAATCCTTTGATACAATTCGTTTGAATTCTTCAGAACCTTTACATAAATGTTCTAGCCTCAAAATGTGGCCTTTTTCTTATATTAGACAAATCTGCAAGTAGTCATAGATTTTTGGTGTAAGCTGAGTAAGACAGTTTTTGACAGGGAGGAATAGGTAGGGAAAATGCGAGAAGGAAATTTGAGCTTCATGATTGTTAAGTAAGGTTTTTTGCTGGGAGATCTAAAACTCAAGCCGTTTAACACATAGAAAAAAAAAACATCAACAAAATAAAGCTTTACATTACACAGTATACTTGTGAAGGTAGAATTATAGCAGCGTTCAGTTATCTGAAAAATGCGCGCTTGTAAGCCTGGGATTCGCGATCACGACAAGTAAGCGGACAAGTCCATAAAGAATTTTGTTTCTGGAAGACTTAGAGTTCACACGTATGAACTCTGAGCAGCTGTTATAAATATTTGTGCAAATGCCCCAATGTATGTAAGGTTGTTTATGCGCCCATTCCTAATGAGCTGATCTTGAAAGCCGCGATGCACTTGTAACTTATACAACTGATCAAATTCTGTGTTCCCCAATATAAAGCCAGCATTCAAGCTACGACGACAGCGTTCTATCCAAAATGCTTCGAGCTATTGTGATTTTCCTGGTGAGTATCTATCATAACAACGTTGCATGCTGATCTAATTGATGTGTTGAAAACTTGATATATTTTAGTCCCTACCAGCGATTGGAAAAACAGAAGATTACTTCCCCTGTAACGCATCGTCTCCGCACGGGATAAAATTTAGCGAAGGTATAGCTGGTGACTGGAAGAGGGCAGTACCGCAAGCTTTTAGGAGCTTTATCAAGAAAGTAAAGAGTATGAATTTGCCAGAAGGACTCGTTGAAAAAACAAAACTGATAGAACCCAGAGTGGTCGGTGGAATAACTTATTGAGAGCATAGTAGAAATTTCTTAACCATTACCCTTTTCTAGGAATATAGCTGCTTGATGGAGGATGGTACGCATTTTGGTATAGGTTTTATCTTCGATATCAGGTAGGTAATTTAGGTATTCTTATGAATTCTTTATATAAGGATTTAGCGAGCTAGAGCTATATCAACAGAATATTGCAGAGGCCGTTGAATCTGCACTGAATACAGAGTGGTGAGCAAGTTTATAAAGCTTTTGTGTTTAACTTCAATATCAATGTTTAGGATAAAGAATGAAGGATTTGCGAAAATAGCATTGGACGAGTTTGTTCGTGTAAGGATTATAAGTATTGGACACAAAAAAATGCTAAAATCAGCTTATAGAAACTACTGCTTTCATGCCCTTCTGCCGGACGCCCATCTCTTTCACTGCGGCATTTTTGGCTTGTGGCAACATATCATCAAAAAAGTTAAATGCTTAAGAGCAACATATTTCTACCAATTTTTGTGAGCTATTAATGATTTTTATAAATTATCGCAAGAAAAGGCAATGCTAATAGCATGTACACTCGGAAAACTACCTTTTAGGTCAGTATCAACTAAACTTCGTCGTGAAGACTACCGACTTCACTAGAAATTATACATCTTTAAAAAGTATAGTGCAAAAGCCCATAAAATTGTAACTTGTTGCCTATCGTGTCAGTTACATAGCGCGTGAGAGTTGACGAATCTACAGTACCTGCATTTTGTAAAAAAAACCTTGACGAAAGCCTTTTCTTTTTTTTTTGATTGACGATTATTTCATGCTTGACACTCTTTCATACTCAGCAACCAGACACTTTTTTCCATTTTCTGCGTTTTTAAAAAAAGAGTTTTTTTTGCTGTTTCAAAGTACGACTCAGCGGCGAGCCGTGGTCGGAAATGTCCGCTTTGAGTTACCTGATGGAGCATTCTTTGAGTGTACAGGGTGCGTCAAAAGTTTTGGAGCCCAGTACTTTTTCGTACAAAATGAGAAGAAAAGTACCTAGAAACGAAAAATTTGGCGCACGCATAATTCGAACCGATGCAGATACAGCCCAGTTCTTGAATTGCAAAATTGCCTCTTTTGGCTTCCACGCAACCCTACAAAATCTCGGCAAGTCCACCTGTCGCGGCGCGCAGGTATTCGTAATAAAAAAAAGCTATATTGCACAATTGCCTCAATTCTATCTCCACAGACTTTTCGTGAATGGCGGGTTTACTTTACGGTTGATTATGGATAAGAATTTAATCAATTTATGTTTGGAAAATCTTGAGCTAAAACAAAACTCTTTCAAATTAGACTTTTAAATTCTTTCGCCAAATTAGTGTCATATCCATTTTTTGCTTATCTTATCCAGGTTATCGATTGGAAAAAATCAATAATGCCTTCCCGCGCAAATAAGCCTTGCTCCCAATCGACTTCTGATCGCGTCCTTAGGAAAAGGAATGTGAATGTGACTGCGCCAAATAGTCAGACAGAAGCGGGCTCAGACCCGTATATTGACTATGATAACCTCTCTATGGGTGAGATTATCCAGACTATTCTGGATAAAAATACTGATCCTACCATAGAGAGACTTGTCTTGGCTTTGCAAAAGAAATTACCCAAGGACGCAGAAACAGAGAAACGCGAGAGGAGCGTCGTATTTGCGGGTCTTGCCGAAGCTCCATCTGAGTTTACAGTGCTTGAGCGTAAGAAGCATTTAGATGAGAGCGTAGCGCAAATATTGGAAACGTTGCACATAGATGCTTGGCTCTCGGAGATATTCCGAATGGGCAAAAGGGTTGACGGGAAGCCACGCTTGGTCAAAATGGTATTCCCCTCGCGCTACTATTGGAGACAAGCTCTATCAAATGCTTACTTATTGCGGCACTCGTCTCTTTCTCATGTTTTTCTACGCAGAAGTATGACTCAAGCAGAGAGGGAGCGGGAATTAGAGCTACGGAGGGAAGCTAGCGAGAGAAATAGAGGAAAAGCAATACGAGAGTGGGTTGTATACCGCGGGGAAATTAAGCATGTCTCTGAGCTGCCCAAAAGGCCTGTTCAGGGAAACGCCTAACTCAGCGTGGTTCTAGTGAATTCATATCATGTTTTTTGTTCAACTCTCGAAGCCTTGTAAATAAGTTATACATTCTTCATGCCTTTTTATGTTTCTACCGTCCCGATATCGTTTGCGTCACGGAATTATCCTTTAGAATTTCTGACTCCGAAATTGTGATTAATCTGGCATACTCTATCCATCGATCTGACCGAAAGGGGAAAAAAGGCGGTGGGGTCTGCTGTATAGTCAAAAATGATCTTGTAGTACAACGCCTTTATATTGATCAACATCTAAACTCGGACATACTGTGCATAGACCTCTTTTCAACTGCCTCGCTCTCACCTTTAAGATTCATAACGGTTCATCGACCTCCCTCTGTAACAATGAAAGATGATGAATCTCTCTCAAATACGATTATTGATCTCTGTTCAGTTCCGACCGAAACGATCATTTTGGGGGACTTCAATATTGATGCAATTTCTCCCGGTAGAAACCCACAAGATAAGCATTTCCTTAATCTCTTGCTTAGCTGTCAGCTTGTACAGAATGTGAATGTTCCGACTCATGATAATGCAGCGATTGATCTTGTTTTCTCCACGAGTGATATTGTCAATAACACTCGCATTATGCCACCTTTTGGGTCTTCTGATCATAATGTCGTAGCTTTTCATACGCATTTTTCTATATCCAACAATTTCGTCTTGCCATTTCCTAATTTCTACAAAGCAAATTATCTAGAAATGAATAGAGCACTTCTATGTGTAGACTGGATTGATATTTTTCATGGTTTTGCATCAGTTGACGACTTATATTACCGTTTTTGCTCCGTTTTATATAGTATCTTCGCCAAATGTGTACCTTTCACCTCAAAGAAAGCTCCTTTTCAAGTCTATCCCACTCATATTCGTGATTTAATTGAACAAAAATCTCGGCTATTTGCCTCATTACCTAAGCCCATGTGTGATGAATTATATAAGAAAGTTTGCCTCGATCTAAATTATCACCTCAAAAAATTTTTGCGCCATCGAGAAATTTTTTTGGCTAGACGTTCTAACACAGCATTGATTCGTTATTTCAAATGTCGTACTCCTAAAAGAGAGACTAGTTTGCCAGTCTTGATTGATGAAGCCGAAAATCAGTATAGAGAGGACCAGGAGAAGGCAGAGGCTCTGGGTAAATTCTTCGCCAAGGTATTCATAAATGCTCAAGGAGTCGATCCAGGTTTATCTTCTACGTTCAACCTGTCTGAATCGTGTGGAGAAGTGTCAGTCAACCCTGACATTGTCTTTGAAATACTCAAAAGCTTGAAGTCAGTTGCGACTACTACTTTTGATAGTATTCCTCAAATCGCTTATAGAAAATGTGCCCACACCTTGTGCATTCCTCTTTCGTACATTTTCAATGTCTCTCTCTCTCTCAGCGGGTGTAGTACCTACTATTTGGAAGGAAGCCTAAATTACGGCTATTCCTAAAAAAGGATGTAATGGTACCTTGGCGAATTTTCGACCCATTAGTATAATGCCTCCTGCTGGTAAGATCCTCGAAAAGATAATCAGAAGAAAGCTGTTCGAACGGTTAGATGAGCATAATGTTATTCCTCGTGAGCAACACGGATTTCTTCCGGGCTCATCGACAACTACTTTGCTTGTTGACTCTATATTTGACTGGACCACTGCTCTCAACAATGGTCAATCTGTAGATATCATCTATTTTGATTTTTCAAAGGCTTTTGATAAAGTAAATCACAACAAGCTTCTCTTAAAATTGGCAAACTATGGCATAAGAGGTACTCTCCTAGAGTGGCTAGCTTCATACTTAGAGGATAGGGGCATGACTGTGCGCGTTGGGTGCAAGTATTCTGAGCGATACCGTTGTGGTAGTGGCGTCCCTCAGGGTGGAATTCTATCACCGTTACTTTTCTTGACCTACGTTGCTGAATTACCTGCATATTTGAAAACCCATCCAAGTGTCAAAATACAAATTTTTGCTGACGACATAAAAATTTATTCTTGTTATGATTCCGATCATCAAAGTGAAGCCTTCATGGCACTTTCCTATTCCATCAGCAAAATGGAAATTGGGTCCAAGGAATGGAACATCCCTCTAAATGCGTCAAAGACTACCGTTATGCACCTTGGGGATTCACCCTGGAACCTACTCCTGCGACGATGTCGGTCTTGAATTTGCTAACCCAATGCGTGATCTTGGTGTCATGATTGACGCCTCCCTTTCATTCAAATCTCATATCGATCTTGTTATCAAAAAGTCCTCCGCAACTCTTTTTACTATTTTTCGTGGCATTCATAGCAATGATCCTGAGGTTTTTTGAGGCTCTACAAAAGCTATGTCTTGCCGCATCTCGAATATGCCTCGCCTATTTGGAGTCCATTTACAAAAGGAAACATCGAAAGAGTCGAAAAAATCCAGAAAACGTTCACCAGAATATTATTCTATAGATGTTTTCCCAATCCTAATTACCCACAAGCTCTACCCTTCTATCGGTTACGGTTAAATAAACTGAACCTGCAGAGCCTACTGTATAGACGCGTTCTGAATGATCTGACTTTGTGTTTTCGAATTCTGCGCTTAGAAACAAGACTCAAAGCTAGCAAGTTTTGGATATTCAGACCGTGTAGCGAACGATCAGGTAGATTTGGTCTTTACTATCGCAAATTGGGAAAAAACGATTTTTGATGACTTTCAACTCTTTCATTTGTCGAACAACCCGACAATTTTCGGTCCTACCGGATTACATCGCTTCCAGTGAAAACTCCAAAATATTCAAAAGAAGATTACAAAATATTAATGTGTTACAGCTACTCGATATCTGCGATTTTTAGATGTTATGAGTACGTGCGCCATCCACCATTGTTCCAACCACCCTCCATGCCTCGCCAAGCCGTTACCTAGTCAAGTCTTCCATACCTGGTCACGTCGCCCACTTTGTCGAGTCGCCATACCTCGTCAGGTCTCTTACTCCTCCCCAAGTCTGGTACCTCGTCAAGTCGCTCATTCTTGGCCAAGTCGTATATACCTCGTCAAGTCGTCAAGTCGTCAAGTCGCCCACACCTCGCAAGCCCTCCATACCTCGTCAAATCTTCAACCCAGTCTACGTAGCAAATGCATTTCGCTTCATTTTTTGATAGTCAAAAAAACATTGAGTCTTTTTTCCCAGCTATTTATTTTCGTTTGTTCACTGCCACTAACTTAGACACCCTGCTTCACTAACGATCATATTGGCTTGCCTTGTATGCCAGGGTACATGATTCTACCTCTTGTCTTCCTATTACAGTCACACCTAAGCGCCCAGGTTACTTCCGCTTATGCCTTACTTCTATGCCTTACTGGCAAGCCTTAACTGGCACTTCAACTTAGAGTCTTGCTATCCTCCAAAAGGTATACTCATCTGGGGTCTGTCAGCTAGTTTCCGCCCGTAAGCTCGCTGGCACTCAAAAAGGGGTTTTCAGAATAACTTTGGAGGATGCAATACTCTCCAGTTCTTTGTTTTTCAAGCCATATTTACACTCATTAGGCATTTGAAACAGATTTCGCTATATCTTAAAGGGCCTTAGGTTAGTGGATTGCTTATACGTCCATCGTTTATCTCCCTGAAGCCATGG